TCCAAGCAAAAAAAAAAAAAAGTGGGAGGCATAAACCAGATTTATTGAAAGCTCTTGTACTTTGACCAAGGCAATTACCTAACATGAACAATTAGCATTAAGATACAAAAGAAATAGCAGAAACATACAGAAAACTAGAGAACATCTTATGTGCAACTTTTGCTATTAAAATTAATGTTAAGCATTATAAAGTAAACAATAGAATGTATAAGTAATATTTCATACTATTGGGAATTGATGCTACAAGTAGTGGAGCCACTGGTGTTGTCTCATTCTATTTGAAGTCCGAAAATTTAAGCACACATGTGTTTGTTCTGCATAACTATCTTTTTTTCTTTTTTCATGAAATTTGTAGAGCATATGTAGAATATTTTATTGTGTTATTTTTTTACAGACTAATTATGAATGAGTTTTGAAATATCAATTGTTCTGCTCTATTAAGTTTTCATTAGACGATTAACAACCGAGGCCACTCAGACTTCATGTTCAAAAGTTTTAGGTTCAAATATTTTTGGTGATGAGTTTGTTTCTCTTTTCTTTTTGGGTAAAATAAGCTATTTTTTGTGTCAATGTAAATAGTTTCGGACTTAGATTTATAATTTATTTTTTTCTTACTTTTGGGAGTTTTCTACACGAGGAGTGTGATGGTTGATGTCTCTGAATTTATTTTAATCATTGTTTGAAGATGAATGATGATATGTTATAATATTATAAATATAAATTTATAATATTATAAATTTAGTTTTTCATTGGTATTAAATCATTTTTTCATATAGTTTTCAATTCGATTGGGATCGGTCATATTCAAGCAGAATGTGTAATGATTTATCATTGACTCATTTAATTCAGATATGATAGAGTATAAATAATAAAAATTAAGAATTAAACTGAGTACATAACATGATCTTTTATATTTAAAACCATAGTGATTGAGAAAAGTTATAAAACTTTCAAATGAAAGCTGTAGATATTTGCTTTTGAAAGAAAGACTATCTTGCTTTCATATGTTTTCAAGAGTAGTTGTCACGTGAAAATTTATTTGAGTAAGATTGCAAATTTTAGGAATACTTGCAGGATACTAAATGTATGCATATCTTAGTATTTTATTTTTAAAAATAATATTGTTAGCCGCACATTTTTATTTCTATCAACTCATTTTGCTTATTTTGCTAATGTTTCATGATTTTTTATTTTTTATTTTTAAATCAGGTAAGTTCATCTTTTCAATTTATTTTTAGTTTCTAGCAATGCTAAGTTTTATCCCAAAATTTTCATTCTCAAATTAATTTTATCACTTCACCCAATGTGATTTCAAAGATAATAGAGGTGTATTTTGAATGATCAAAACAAAGATGAATTTGTGGTGTTCTTGGCAAAAAAAAAAAAAAATGTTGATTCAGTAGTACAAGTTAGAAGTGTTTATCAATTGGAGACTGTCGTATATTATTTTAATCAGCCTTTGTTATTTTTCATTGCATAGAAATAACATTTAGACTTACAAAATATTCTAAAGTTTATTTGGGTAAATGGATTGAACTGATCAAGCCAATATCCAAAACAATTAGCATGGGCCAACTGTGCTTGGCACGGCCTATAACCTTCTAGTCCATTAATTACGTAATTTCATCAAAAGTGGACAAAGTTAAACGAGAAATTTACATAATTAATTAGTTATCTATATATATATAAAGAGGAGTAACAAAGCATTAAATTATATTATCATGCATTAAATTTTATTCTCCATCCAAAATTTTCAACATTCAATTTCATTTTTAAGTTACAAAATAACTTGCTTGAATGCCATAAATTATGAGCATAAATCAATCAAGGGAGTTACAAAATTATACTCAAATTTTAAGTCACACTCACTTATGAAAATGGTCAGGTGTATTAGCATAAAGAAATGATTGTAACGACTCTTCTATAGCAATTACTTGATCAAAATCAATTTTGAGAATTATTTTCTTAATTCATATTTTTCTTCATGAATTAAATTATAATTTATTTTTGTTTATATTATTATATTATTTTTTTAAAGTATTGTTCTATGTGCAAATACACAACTTGATTACTAGTGCTATAGAAAACCATGTCCAGTTTACAACATATATAAATCCTGATATTTTGCTGTCTCCTTCATTTTTTCGCTCATTTGCTTGATGGTTCTTCTACCACCACGTTTTATTGGAGAAGAAACACCCCTAGAAAATAAGCAACTGATGAATGGATCAGCACGAAAATATTGATCAAATGCAGGACACATGATGGTAGCTCGACTGAATCAGAACATGGGATAGAAGCAAGAAAGGTGTCGGGATGAAGTCTAAATCGCAATCCAATACTAGGATGCAATCAATGCCTTTTCTCCCACCCCGTCACTACCAATCTTATTAAGCATTGGCAGTATTTTTATAGAAGAGGTTGAGAATGCCCAAAGTGTAGAACTCGAACACGAGCAGGGGCCCTCTTCATCTTTTTAATCAATCTCTTTCAAAACCTCTATCCCACGGCTACCAAAAATGCAATCCAGCTCAGACCTTTTACTTAATGCCATCATTTCCATATCATAACAAATTAAGCACACACCACCAAATCGGAAANATTGTGCAAAGTATATAATATACCATTTTTGGAATGATCATAAGAGATGTTTCCATGGTCTTTGCAGGACATGCACAAGACAAAAGTAACAACAAGCATCATCATAAAGACTCCAAAATTGACCCATACACAAACAGTGCTAAATACTGGCAGTTCAGCAGCAAAACATAATGTAAACTTTTACTGTCTCAATGTGCACTAGACTGCTTGATAATGCCCCTGCACATGAAAAAGTGATGCTATTAATCATATTCCATTTCCTATTCAATGTAAATAATATATCTTTTTGTTATTCATTGAAATACAAAATAAGATGCATATACAACAGAGGTCTGGCATCACTGTGCTGGTTGATTAGAGGTATCCATAAATGATAAAAACAAATACACAAGGGAAATTAAGATAATGGAGTTTTCTTATAAAATAAGGTTAGAACTTAGACATCAAGCAAAATTTGGTATTTAAAGGAAATTACTTACCTCCCGCGAAAACCCTTCAATTATATCCCGTCAAGACAGCTCGAGCGCTACAGCCTAACGCCAACCCCTGCACAACCAGTTGCAGCCTCCCGCACAATCCCAGTACCAGATTTGGAAAAGCTGATTGATTGCTAATCTGAATCTTCATAGAGTTCCCCATGATCAGAAACCTCGTCAAAATCCCGAACATCCAACTGGTAGCGGAGAATCCCACCTATCCCCCCAAAACCCCTGCAGAACTGAGACCCTTCCTGGGACTTATTCGTCACAAACTCGAGCGTGCACCCAAACCGTCTGTACTCCTGGGCAAACCACTCAAGCAGAGACATCTTCTCTTGAACTTCCAGCTCAGCATTTGTCTCTGGGTCCCGGAAGTTCTCCTGGTCCGACTCCTGCTCCTTGTTGAAGTGTTTAATGGTGACTTCTCCGGATACAGTATTCTTCAGAACGTATCTAGTGATATCAAGATTCTCCCAAACAATGAGTGTCTCGATAGCACCCATTTCCAGAACCTTCAAAGTGTCCTCCACGCCGAAAACATATTTCCCCGTGTCCTGACTAATTTCCTCAAAGTATTTGCCAATCAGACGTTTTTCTTGTATGAATTTCACATTGGAGAGGATTTCGGCAGAAAGCTCAATGGCCTGATTGAATCCATTTTCCCCACCATAAGAAACGTCCACCACATTCAAAATCTTGGCCTGGAGACGGGGATCAAACATGTCTGACTGACTCAGCTCAGTCTTGAAGTCGGCCGAGCCAGCAAGTATGAGCCCAGCCACATTAGGCTGACTAGTTTGGGGATTAATGAAAAACTGGGTGGCAAGCTCGGCTGTCTTTCTAACGTAGTTATGTCGTTTTTCCATACGAAGACGAGCAAAACGCAAGGCAGACTGCCCTCCCCTCCCGTGCTTCTTGGGAAGGTCCACAGTGAATTTGTGAAGAACCTCTCTGGTATTTCCACTCAGTGTTCCAAAAAGGGTCCCGTTACCATCCATGACAATAAATCCAAATTTATCATCGGACTCTAAAAGCTCATTGAGTGCTTCAGTGTGGAACTTGTTGTCACAGAGGTAAAGGGATGCATTTATGGGCCTGAACGGCTCAAAATCGATTGTCACTTTCTTTTCCTTGCCGTCCTCTGTCACGATGGTCCCAGTGTAAAGGACAAGCCCATTTGGAGGGACCTTGTGGTAAAGTTTGAGCCTCTGCTGGGCAGACGTGATTGCACCCAGAACTGACTGTCGGTTGACTCTGCTTTTGATGTTGGATGCAGTTCCAAATTCATCCCCGAGCATCTTGGTGACACGGGAGATTTGATCTCGTGGAGGCATGATGAGGGAGATCATGCTAGTGCCATTGCCTCGGGCTGCTTCCAAGGCCTTGATGAGCTTCTTGATTTTCCATATCTCGATATTCTTATCGGTTTCATGACCATCAGCCATTGGTTCAAGATTGAAATATTTTGTGCCACGGAAAGTTCTGAATGAATGGAGAAAAATATGAGTACGGGAATTTTTTTATGAATCATATATAACAAAAGGCTGTGAAAAACTGAGCCACACTAGAAATACATTAGTTCACAGGTATGCAATACATTGTCATATGTAATGATTGTGGGGTTATACAACATTACATAGCAAAAAAAAAACTCACAAAAGAAAATTTTTATTAAATGAAACATGTTGAATAGTCAAAACTCAAAACATGATAAGAGAGCAAAACAACAAACATCCACAGAACCTGAAGACAGCTTGTGCATAAATAAAATATATTGCACTTGCACTTTTATCAGTTTTATGATGAAAAGAGTGCCAAGGGGCATAAAACATTGAAAAATAATAATAATAATTTTGTGTCCCAGCCAATAGCATGTACATTTTGTTGCCTCGGAAAAATTACTAGTGCCAAGAGGTTCAACTATTGTCACAAACCAAACCATATATAACTGAAACTTTAAGAAACGTACAATAAACTAGTCCCCTCTTTTCACTCAATCTGCAAAGTTACGCAGCAAGGTTAACTCAAAAGGCTTCAACACCCACACGACGGAATAATAACATCTTTTGCATAAGATGTAGTACAAAACCACCATCCTATACAGCTCGTTTACCAACTTTAACAAATTTCACATGTGTACAAGAGGGTTAAAGAATTAAAAATATAATTATAAAAATATCCTTTAAAACTCATTCTCAATTTACACCAACCAGTTCAGAAAACATCCAACACATTAATTAGTTTCAAAAGAACTCAAAAGGCAGCAATCGACATCCTCCATAGTCAGCCCAGACAAATAATAGAATTCAGCTGCCAAACCCACACTTAATCAGGAGGCCAAATCCACACTTAATCAGGAGGCGTTGCAGAATAAGATCCTGACAGGATATCATTGGTGATTGTTTTAAATCGGCTGCAGCTTGAATAGGAAAAAACCAGGACGTTTAAAGTCTAAAATTACAGAATTGTGCACACATGTACCCCGATATTTCGACCTTAAACAAGGAAAACTACGATAAATCCTTTCAAACAATCCTTTCATTTACATATATACATCAAATTTGTACAGATATAGGTCAATGATAGATACACAGTCGAACAAATTGATTGCAGCCATTTTATGGGATGAAAACATGTCAGCAATCATTTATTTGATGAGTAGCATAAGCAAATTCTATCGATACGAAGCTCGAACGAGGTAATCAGCTAATACAAAGAAATATTCGATGGCATGACTGCAAAATCAAGATAATTACCTAGGCGATGAGAGCGAAAGCTTTCTCTTGGCACGGCGGTAGCAGATCTGGATCAGAAAAATGATGCGCACACCCAAAATATAACATATGGTCTGGAAATAGCAATTTGCGAAACCCTAATCCCAAGGCCAAACGCAGTCGTTTTGTTTAGTGCCACAAAAATAACATAGAAAATCCGATTTTTTGTTTTTCACAACTCAACCANCCTACAGAAACAGCAAGACTAAACCAAAATACAAAATAAAATACACAAAAGAGCCCCATATACCCAGAAATAACAGCTATCAATGAACAATGAAAGCTTGAAGTCATCTTCTTCAGGTAGCACTTTTTCTGCAGCCTGCTGCTACTTCCACAGCTCACAAGAGATGTTTGTACCAGACCACAGACAAGTAAAAACTGCTATTTCATTTTATCCATTACCAGCTCAAATCAAAAGAAGGTTACAGAGAGAATTGGGACAGATCAGGAAGAGAAACATAAGAAATCACAAAAAAAAAATCCACCAAGCAAGGTAGTTAGAATTCCAGCCACTGAACTCTAAACGGACCTAGCTGTTCATCAAGCTACCTTGTTTTAATACCCCCGATATTCTTGCCATTCAACCAGAGCAATGTTCACCACATCCTTTACAGGCCTCATGTTGTTTTCAAATACCCATTGGTTCCTCGATTTCCAGATCCCCCATAAGATGTACAGAGTTAATTGAATTCTAGAATCTGAGGATGCGCTGTGATTTAATGAATAGATTCTATTCCACCAACCCTTAAAGCTCAAAGTTTCATTTTCCAACCCTTCTCAAGAAACCGGTGACTCCAAATATCCTTGGATCTATTACAATGGAAGAACATGTGTTCTAGAGATTCAGCAGCTTCACCGCAGATTTTGCAAATGTGATCGATTTGAATGCCTTTCTTTATGAGATTACAGTTGACAGGGATGAAGTTTGAGTAGCACCTCTAGAGAAAATGCCTCAGTTTCCCTTTGACCTTGAGTGACCAGCTCCTTTTCCTCACTTTCCTGCTCTCCTGCTGTTCTGTACTACTTTCAGGTTGATCCAGTTGTCTCCATTTCTTCCATACTAGCTTGTTGTACACAGAAGCTACACTGAACTCGCCTTTTGAATCCCAGTACCATACTACCCTGTCTTTTGTATGTGGGTCCAGGCTTTTGATTTTGAGTATGACAAAATTTTCCCCTTCATTAAAAAGCTCTTCCAGCAGGGCAGTGTTCCATCTCCTTCCTGTTTCATCCATTAGCTCACTAACAAATGTCAAGTCTGTTCTGTTTTGCAAATTAGGAGCAGGTTTGAAGCTAGGCAAGGTAGGAATCCAAGGCTGATCCCAGATTTTGATTGACTTTCCATCTTTAACTTCATATCTGATTCCTCTTCTCATTGTTTCCTTAGCTTCCATCCAACTATTCCACAACTAGCTTCCATTTTGTGCTTTCTGGGCAGATAATATTGAACTGTTTGGGTAGTATTTGGCCTTTAAAATTTTGCTGACTAGTAGATTCGGTTTTGTGAAGAGTCTCCACACTTGCTTTGCAATCAGTGCTTTGTTCATCAGCTGGATATCCTTGAAGTTCAGGCCCCCCACTTCTTTAGGAAGTGTAAGCATGTTCCAAGCTTTCCAAAAAATCCCTTTCTTTGTGGCATTTGGGTTCCACCAGAAATTTGCAAACACCTGGGAAAAGCTTTTACAGGTAGATTTGGGTAAAGAAAAACAAGACATCACATAAATTGGTAAAGCACTTAAAACTGCTTTCAAGAGAACTTCTCTTCCAGCACTGGATAGATAATTATTCTTCCAATTTTGAATCTTTTTTTTTTACTCTCTCCACGACAAAGGAAAATGTGTCCACCTTAGACTTTCCTATACCAAGGAGTAAACCAAGATATCTAGAAGAGTTATGGTGGGAGATACCCAGGAGAATAGTACAAATGGAGTTTTTGTTTGGCTGGGTAATATTCCTACTGAAAAAGATGCTGGATTTTTGCAAATTAACCGATTGGCCAGTAAAAGCCTTAAAATAGTAAAGCATTTCCAAAATCAGCCTGGCATGATTATCATCTGCTTGACAAAAAATTAAGGTATCATCCGCAAAAAATAAATGAGTAAAAATTTGGGCCTTGTTTACATATTTTAAGCCCATGGAAAACATCTAGATTGGAATACTTATTTAACAAAGATGAGAGAATTTCTGAAATCAAAATAAAGATATAAGTGGACAGTGGGTCCCCTTGTCTTATGCCTCTAGATGTCTTCAAATACCCCTTGACTTCCCCATTAAAATTGAAGAGAAAGGAGGAAGAGGAAATACAAGCCATGATCCACTTTACAAAAATAGGATGGAACCCAAACTTTTGCAAAATAATTTTAACAACATCCCACTCCACCCTATCAAAAGCCTTAGACATATCTAATTTAACTGCCATATAAGCCCTTTTACCACTCCTATGCCTATTAAGAAAATGGATGGCTTCAGTGGCTATGATTACATTATCTAAGATTTGTCTGTCAGAAACAAAAGCCGACTGGTTTTCACTGATACAAAAGGGTAGGCAAAATTTTAATCTACTGGCTAGGATTTTAACAATGACTTTATAAACCACACTACATAAGCTAATAGGTCTATATTGGGAAATGAGTTTTGGATTTTGGCATTTAGGGATGAGGGAGATTAGAGAATGATTAATACCAGTGAGAATTTGGCCTGATTCAAAAAAGCTATAAACAAGGGCACATAAATCATCTTTGATAATGGTCCAAAAGGATTGAAAAAAAGAAGATGTCATACCGTCCAAGCCTGGAGCTTTATTTGCGTCAATGCTGAATATGGCTTCTTTAATTTCATTCTCCTTCACAGCAGCAACTAGTTTTGAGTTCATATCTGATGTGATGGATTCTGGAATTTCTCTTAGCAGCTCAGCTTCATTATGCACTCCCTGAGATGTGAAAAGAGTTGAGTAAAAATCTTCAATGCACTCCACTATTTCCTCTTTTGTTTGGCAAACCCTTTGATTTTCTGTCACCAGCCTTGAGATGTTGTTCATTTTCCTTCTTTCCTTAGTGGCAGCATGAAAATAGTGGGTGTTTCTGTCTCCATTTTTCAACCAGTTGACCCTGGATTTTTGCCTCCAATACTGCTCCTCATATTCATATGCCTTCTCCAACTGTTTTTTTGTTTCATTCCACAATTGCCAATTCCTAGCACTTCCTTGATTATTCAAGTCCTCCATTTGTTTGTTCAGGTAATCAATTCTTTGAGCATTTTCATTCTTGAATGAGCTGCTCCATTTTAAAAGCTCAACTCTGGTATGTTTGATTATTTCTTGAAAGCTGAACATTGGAGTACCTTGTTGGGGTTTGTTCCAAGCTGCAGATACTACTTCTGTAATCCCTTGCTTTTTCAGCCATCTCCTGTCAAAACAGAACCTCTTTTTGGCTTGTTTGAAATCTGGTTGCATATTGAGGAGCAACAAGCCTGATCTGAAGAACTTCTGTGAATATTGGTAACTTCAGCTCTCGGGTAGCTGTTGTTCCAGTTTAGTGAGGCAAAAATTCTGTCCAGTTTTTCTTGAACAAACCCCTCTCCATCTCTTCTATTACCCCAGGTGAATTGACTTCCTGACATTCTTAGCTCCATCATTCCCATGTTACCTATGAAATCCCTGAAGCCTTGGAAGGAATTTTCAGATCTCCTTCTACCTCTTTGCTTCTCAGTGTGATCAATTAAGTCATTCCAATCCCCTCCTATGAACCATTTATCACCCCAACTACTTTTCTCACAAGCTAAAAAATCCAAGTGAAGCTTCCTGATGGTACAATCAGTGCTAAGGTAAACAAAAATACCCCAAACACAAGAATTACAAATATTATCCCAGAACTGAACTTGGATAAAAAATGATTCTTTAATAATACTAATAATCTTAACAGAATGATCCCACCCCAAAAGAAGCCCTCCACTCTTACCTATAGGATCTACTACCCATCTATCTCCTGACCCCATAGTTTTACACACTGTATTTACAAATTTGGATTTTTTTTTTGTTTCAGAAAGGAAAAGGAAAACAGGGCGGTACTCTGTTGATCTCCTTGATTTGGGAAACTGTAGAGGGCCCACCCAGCCCTCTACAGTTCCATACCGCAACTTTCATTGAGGGGAGTGGGGCCATTTAGGGCTGGCCTCCCTCACCTCATCAATCTCCAATTTCTGTTTTTTCCTATTGTTCTGCTTGACCTCTGGTTCTTCTCCTGATTCTTTTGGTTGTTGCATTTGGTTTTTCAGCTTCCTCTTACCACTGTATTGTAATGGTTCCTTCATGTTAATTGCTTGTCTTTGCTTTTTCAAGTTAAGTCTTTTCCATCCCCTTCGGGAAGCAACCACTTCTTCTGATTCATCTGGGTCAGCAGTGAGATCAACCATATCCTTCATCTGTTGGTCAGTTTCTGTTGGTGTTGCCATCTCTGGTTTTTGGTTTTCCTCCATTCGTTCCCTTTCATCATGTTTATCATTGATAAGTTGATTATGGGAATTTGTTGTAAGGGAATCTTCAGTAGAGTTGAAAGGGGTCTGTTTATTTGTGGCAGGTTGTAGTTGTATTATATGGGTTTTGGTTTGGGTTATACTTGTCCCTGTTGGTTCAGAGGGTTTTTGGCTTTGGGTAATTGGTTCAGAGGGTTTTTGGGTTTGGCTATTTTGGATATTGGGGTTGATTTTGATAGAGTTAGGTTCAGAAATAGGAAAAGGAGGATCTAATGATGATTAGTTAATGTTTGAAGGGAAGTAAAGGTCCGCTGCTTTCATCCATTCTCCAAATAATCCATCTTTATGATTTCCTTTTTCAATATCATCCTTCCTCTTCTCACACTGTTTGTCCTGGTGTCCCAAAATGCCACAGTAGAAACATAATCCAGCCAACCTTTCATATTTCATTTCTATGGTGATCTTTTTCTCCCCTAATTGAATATTCACACACCTTAGTAGTGGCTGCTCTATGTCTACTGTGACCAGGAGCCTAATGCATTTCCCTGCAAGATTTCCTCCTTGTGGAATCGACACATCTTTGGTCTTGGAAAAGGCTCTTCCTATCTTTAATCCCACATCTACTGTGAGCCAGTTAATAGGCACATTCCAAGCTTGAACCCAAATGTCTAGGGATTTGAAAGTGTGATGATTTGGTCCCAGCCCTTCCTCCCATTCCTTGAGGATTAGGAACTGATTGTCGAAAATCCAGTTAGTGGCCTTGGCCACTTTGAATTTATCCTCCACATCGCTGAAGACAAACTGGAAGAAATTGGTCTTCAATTCTTTAATTGTAAGTTTCAGACCCACAAGATGGACCTTCTTAGCTCCCAGGATTTTTCCTAAAAGACTTTTAATACATTCATCAGAACCAGCTTTGATGTCTTCTTCTTCAATTGGGATGGTTGTTGTCTCTTTTTCGGATAATTGGATGTTGCCGAGCTTACTCGATATATCAGAATCCATCATCAGATCTAAACTTCAACCAGCACTGCTCCGGATTTGAAGAAACCTGAGAAGCACAGAACAACATACAAGGAAAAGAACGGTAGGGTTTATCGAATCGGATGATAATGGAAAGGAAAATAAAATAAAATTCAGATAAGCCAGAGACAAGGGTTAAAAAACGATCGCACCAATTAAGGAATTATCCTAAGAAGGAATTAACTCCTATGGCAGAGAATAAAGCTCTTAGGGCAAGAGGAGACGCTCTCAGGACGAGAGAATTCCAACCAATTATTTCCAATTTGTCACTTTTTTTTTTAACTCGCTTTTATTTTCTTGTTAAACCATTTTTTTTTTTTAAAAGATAGATAATATATCTGAAAAACTATACAAAGTTCTCAACTAGTCAAGCCAACAACAATCGAAAAGTCCCACAGAACTAAGCGATTAAAAAAAACAAAAAAGCCAACTATGATAGTGATGTAGCGAATGCGATTGAGAGACTTGAGAAAAACCACATGTATTTTGAAGAACCACGTATATATTTTTATTCAATCCAAAATCAAGCAACTAAAATTGTAGAAGATGAGTCTTCGAATAGAACTCATAATCCAAGTAAATATCTTGTCCAATAAGTAAACGACTATAATAAAATAAATAAGTTTACTAACAAATCTAGGATACCCTTAATAAATATTAAAAAATAAATAACGAAACCAATGATGCTAAATGACCATGTTTGTCTAAAAAGACAAACGCAATCTCGTCTCCATCATATAGCTATGCTAAAAGCCAGTAAAAGTACTGAAGCCTTTAGCAAGCATATTAAAGCAACTACCAAAAAGAAAAACTAGTCATTGAACATAAGAACCTAGCTAGGGAGAAACATGAAAAAACAAGAGGAACAATCAATGGCAAGCCAAACTAAAACTAATAGCAGCAAAGCAAAAGGAATAGGCTAAACTAACAAATACCAGTTCACAACAGCAACAACTAAATAAAAAGAACAGCAACTAAGAATAAAAAGAAAGGGATAATTCCTGTCACTGAAGGAGTACAAATTTGATTATCTCATTCTCTGGCTTCCAAGTCTTATAAATGACCCAAATATTCCTGAACTTCCACAGCTACCAGAAGATATAAGTAGTGAGCTCTATTTTGTCAACTTCTTCTTGTTCAGGTGATAAATAGACATTCATCCACCAGTATTTGAAGCTGAGGTTATCAGAGTCAGTGTCTTCTCAGCTCAGGGGTGCAATCTTTCAAATTATTTGCAATCTGAAACAGTAGAAAAAGATGTGCTCAAGGGATTCGTCAGCTTCACCACAACAAGAGCAAGTGGGGCACAAATCTATGTATCTTTTTGATAAGCTAAGATTGACAGAAAGAGTGCCATTGAAAAACTTCTGGATGAAGTGTTTCAATTTCTTCTTTATTTTCAGCTTCCAGTTGACTCTTCTTACTTTCTTGATCCACGATGAGTGGGAGCTTGATTCAGGGATATCAAGAGATTTGACATTGGTGTTGGTGAGGTGAGAGTAATAAAAAGAGACTGAGAAGATTCCCTTCTTGTCCAAGCTCCAACAAAATATGTCCTTCATGTGCAGTCAATGGAAGCAATACTGGGAATAGCTTCACATTCAAGGGGTGTGAAGGTGTTTCTAATTAGCTTCTCATTCATCTGTAGCCATTCAGATCCATAAGCTGAGAATGGCTTCACACCATTTATTTCATTTTTTTTTTCAATATCGTTAGACCACATATATAGTGATAAATAATGTAAATGTTCAATATATTTTATTATACATGATGATGGGTCTACTTCCAGATCTGAAGTGAACCGTATGAGATGAGCTCCGATCTGTTCGAACCGCCTTCAAATTGCCTCTAGACCGTCACAAACACCTGCAAGAACTCAACGCCGGAAGTGTTTTCGACGTAGAGCCTCCGACTCTCAAGTCAGTGTCAAAAAGAGATGAAAGGGTTCTGCTCAGAGAGAGCAGCAACAGCAGGAAGAAGAAGGAGAAGTGATAGAGAGTTTAGAAGTTAGAGTTTAGGGTTACCTCAACCCCTTTATATAGAAGGAAATACCCCCTTGAAGTACTTAAAATTCTCCGGTCAGTTCATATTCCAATCACCTCTTAGTCAGCACAAGATTCCTTCTTATCCAATAAAGATCCACCCTCATTTAGGGGACTTGTTAGGAGATACTTTAAGTGTCTTGAATCGTCGAAGGCTTTGAGTGTCGCGGCGTAAGAAGTCGACCTCGAGTAGTAGGAAGTCGACCTCGAATAGTAAGAGGTCGGCTGGAGGGCTTATATGTAGTGAGATATCAGGAGGCTCGTACCACTTCTTTTCGATTAGTTCTCGTCTTCTTGATAGGAGACGACTTTGAAATCGTCCACCTTGATTTAAACAGTTTGCGAGAGTCGACCTTAGAATGTCAACTCGGAGAAGTCGACCTCCCCTACTATGATGGCATATAGGAAGTCGACTTGAAGGTATCGACTTCCGCTATTGTGGTGACGTAGGGAGTCGACTTGGGATGTGCTGCTTCAATCGTCATGTATTCAGCTCGACTTGCTATCCGGTCGAGTATTTTGTACTTAGGCCGGTATATATAATATGGCTATATCACTCATCCTCACACAAGCTGATCTTATAAGATAATACAAAATACTCATATTTTATACGGTGTAACGTTATCATACAGTTCTTCAATGCAAATCTCGGAGAAACAATCTCCTTGCCGATAGCCATAGCCTCAGCAATATCGGTATCGCTTTCTTTTTAGGCGTATTTATTTATCTCGATCTATTTAAATTCTTTGTTAATAAATATACCATATGTTGATGCACGAAAATTGATCAACATGGGATATTCAGAGGAATTTATCGTGTATTTTTTGGTATGATTTTTTATGATAAATTTGTTGTGTAAATTGAAAGAAAAATAAAGAAGCAGACGAAGGAGGAAGAAGATCATCCTCTGCGCCGCCTCCATCAGAGAGACAAAAGTAAAGACCCCTTCAGACTTATCTATATGATGTCCATCATCGGGGATATATATATATATATATATATATATATATATATATGTTTAATGGGCCCTATATTATCACAAACAGTATTATTTTTGGGCCCTAAAATAAAACAATTGATTTAATATATATCCAAATGTAATATTTTAATAAACGAGACCAAAATTAGGTATCAACACTATAAATGTTTTGTAATCCTGGTAACGCAAAACACTCCGACCGTCTTGAAATTGGCTCGTCTTCCTCCTCCTCGTCGGTAGAACGTCGCGTACCTGCAAAGAACTCTCACACCGGAGGGATTTTCCGGTGAAGAGCCTCCGATGCTTAAGTCAGTATGTATTTCACTCAATTCTAAAGAGTAAAAATGGATAAATCGTGTGTAACAAGAAAGGTTCACTCCTATATATATATAGAAGTGAAATACCTGCCCTAGGAGCCGCCCGAATTTGGTGAGCTGTCTGCCCAACGCTGCCCAGATCTTGCCCGTTCGTACACACACAGTGTGTGTGTGTGTCAGAGATGGTTATCGCCATTATCGCTCTGCACCAATATATTCTCGCCATGTGTCCTCTGCACATGGGGTAATTATTCCCTTGAATATTCCTTGAAAATTCCCTAGAAAGCCACGTGCTTCCTTGCGTATAGATCACGCTCCTGATTGTTCTTCACTTGCGGGGCGGTTGATCTGATAAGCTCTCATTCAGTAGGTCAATCTTCGACCAGATCCGCCACAATGTTCGACGACTTCCTTCCAATCTGCTATTGCTCGACCAGCGTGGTATTTTCAATATTAAACTAGTACGACCGGCATAGTGAACATGTTTATTTTTTAAGTATATAATATCCCATATCAAACCCCGATTAAACCACATAATTTACACTTTTTATAACCGTTGGTGGTTGACCTCAACAATTAACTTATAATTTTATTCATTTTTTATATCTTAGGTGAATTATATTAATATTTAAAAAATAAAAAATTATAATGATTAACCTATTGTTTTATTCAAATTTGTTCTTTTGTTTAACTTTAGAGTGAATTAGAAAAATACTAAAAGATTAATGTTCCAATTCGATTTTATCCGGCAAACGGTTATGAGTGAATAGTCTCGTATTCAATGAAAGCATCGTAACAACGTGATTGTATATAAATATATTCGCTCAAAAGGAGTTTCTTGGTTAACTATGCTTAATTTTGAAAAGGTTGATACGATTAGTTGTAAATGAGATTTTGAGTTTATATTAAAATAATATTTAAAATAAAATAATTTAAGTTAAATTTAATGTAAAACCTCGGGCTTGTTTGTTTAATGGCTTTTTGCCATATTTTAGCTTTTCAGACCATTATCTTATTTGACTTTTCCCTACCCAATCAACAAATATGTTTGGTAATTAGCTTTTGCAATCAGATTTTTTGTCCTATTAGCTAAAATTGGAAACGCTGGAAAAAGGAACGTTTTGAATTGGCCTTTTGAGATAAAAACAAAGTAACAACTGCCCTTGTCTTCTCTAATTGACCTACTTTTCCTTTCAATTTCTTCACGACCGACGTGCCTCAACTAGCGGTGTCAAATCCCAAGCTCCTCGACTCCAACTCAGCGCCGCCCCGATGTCCACCTTCCGGCAACCCCTAGTCGCAACCACGTATTAGCCGGAACTTGAAATTCCTAGTACTGGCATTAGAGGGTTTTAATTAGGCTTCCTTAGTTTGGGTAAGTGTTGAGTTTTATAGGTTTTGCTCTAAGATTTTTTATTTTGACGTGATCTTTGTTTAAATTTCGTGGAAATTTAATTGGAACTGTGTGTTTATTGTGCATGTTTTTATTGTCTGTTTCATTGTAGTTTATTGTTAATTTAACAATGTATGGTGAGTAAGATATTTTTTCAGAATTCTTGAAAGAGCAGGCTCTTGAGATATGCTTTTTGATGAGTTGCACAAACAACAGTATCTTCACCTGAATTTTCAAGATAAACAAGCAAATATACTTATCTTGAGATTTTAAGAATATAAATACTCTGAAACAATAAAATAAGCATGATATTTCATTTAATTTAGGATTAAGGTATGAGCATTATACCATCTAAATGAGTATTAAAGAACAACATCTAATTAGTCCTGGCTTGCTGAAATGGATTATCTTGTGGCTAGTCTTGCTGGATCTCATTTTTTAATAGGATGGGAGGGATCAACACATGATTCTCGTATTTTCCTTGACACGATCAATGATCCAAACCTCAATTTTTCAAAACCTCCATCAGGTTTGTACTTATCATTTATATGCATTGTTGCCCACACACACACACACACACGTCTTCGATATAATTTCATTCTAGTATAACTATTGTACGTTTAAGTAAATATTACTTGGTAGACAAAGGCTACCCAGAAAGAGAAGGTTATTTAACGCCTTACACCAAGACAAGATATCATCAGTTTGAGTTTCATAGTTCAAACCCGAGGGGATCTTGATATGGGATATTATATACCTAAAGAATATACCGGTTCACTAGGCCGGTCGTACAAGCCCAATACTGGAAATGCCATATCGGTCGAGCAATAGAAAACTGAAAGGAAGTCGAACATCGTAGCAAGTCTGGTCGAAGATCAACCTACTAAAGGAGAGCTCATCTGATTGACCACCTGGCGAGTGAAGAGCAATCGAGAGCGTGATGTAGGCGCGAGGAAGCGCGTGGTCTTCTTCAAGAATTCCCAATGAATATTCAAGCGAATAATTACCATCTGCTCAGAAGGGCACGTGGCGAGAGTACATTAGTGCAGAGCGATAGTGGCGATAACTACCTCTGACACACACACACACACACACTGTGTGTGTACGGACGGGCAGATCCGAGCAGCGTTGGGCAGACAGCTCACCAAATCCGGGCAGCTCCTAGGGCAGGTATCTCACTCATATATATATAGGAGTGAGCCTTTCTTGTTACACACGATTTATCTATTTTACTCTTGAGAATTGAGTGAAACACATACTAACTTAAGCATCGGAGGCTCTTCACTGAAAAACTTCCCGGTATGAGAGTTCTTTGCAGGTACGCGGCGTTCTACCGGAGAGGAAGAGGAGGATGAGCCGATATCAAGCCGGTCGGAGTGTTTTGCATTACTAGATCTCAAGAAGTTTTTAACCGGGCTCATTCATCTTTAAGAAGCTGCATTGAAAGGGCTTTTGGTGTTCTTAAAGCTCGATGGAGATACTGCATAAAATGCCGAGATATTCATTAACGGAACAAAATAGAATCATTTGTTCATGTTTTGCACTTCACAATTATATTAGAAGAAACACAATTGGTGATCCGGGCTTTAGGGTTATTGATGCTAATCCTGAATTCATATCTCCTGATGTGTTCCACGATGTTGAAAATAATTTTGCACAAGGTGATGGGGAAATGAGGACTCGGGAGATGGCAAACGTTCGTAATGATATAACTTCAAGTTTGATGGCATCCAGACGTCGTTCTTAGAGCATTTTTATATTTATTTTCTTTTATTCTTGTTTTTTAATTATAGTTGCAGATATTGCAATTGACTCACATTTATATTTTCAGTTAGTATGACTTGTTGTTGGCTTTGTTTATATGACATGAACTTATTTACTCGATTATGAAATATTTTTATTTTATTATTATTTATATTTTTTTATATTTAAATCAATTTAATAAATATTTAAAATATTAATTATTTATATTTTCTTAACATTATAAGTTCAACATAAATTAGAATGATAAAGTATGTTGATGTCTTTATAAGTAATTTTACATGTTAACAACTTATTAAAAAAGCTAATTTTACCACACTTTTTTACAAACCGCTAACATGATCAGCTAGTCAAAACAGCTAACGCAATCTGCTGGTCAAAACAGTTAATGAAATCCGCTAACAGCTAACAACTGATTACCAAACAAGATCGTGTGAAAGTATGAGAGAGATGATGTGAAGTGATTAAATTTATGTAAATAGATGAATAGTTGATAAAAGTTGATGTGATACGTAACAATGATTGGTTGATATTATTTAATTATATTAATAATATTGAAAATAGTAAAATTGAGTTAAAACTAGTAATCAACCTGTGCATTTGCACCGAAAAGAATACTTTAAAAAGATAACAATATAAATAAAAACAAAAAAAAATATAATTTAATTCATGAAAAAAATATGAATTAAGAAAATAGTTCTCAAAATTGATTTTGATCAAGTAATTGCTATGGAAGAACCGTTACAATCATTTTTTTTTATGCTAATACACCCGGTCATTTTCATGAGTGGGTGTGACTTAAAATTTGAGTACAATTTTGTAACTTAAAAATGAAATTGAATGTTGAAAATTTTGGAAGTAGAATAAAATTTAATGCATAATAATATAATTTAATGCTTTGTTGCTCCTCTTTATATATACTAGTAATCAACTTGTGCATTTGCACAGAGACGAATACTTTAAAAATATAAGAATATAAAAAAAAATAAAAAAATAAATCATAATTTAATTCATGAAAAAAATATGAATTAAGAAAATAATTCTCAAAATTGATTTTGATCAAGTAATTGATATGGAAGAGCAGTTACGACCATTTTCTTTATGCTAATACACCCGCCATTTTCATGAGTGGGTGTGACTTAAAATTTGAGTACAATTTTGTAACTCCCTTGATTGGTTTATGCTCATATTTTTTGGCATTCAAGCAAGTTATTTTGTAACTTAAAAATGAAATTGAATGCTGAAAATTTTGGAAGGATAATAAAATTTAATGCATGAGAATAAAATTAAATGCATGGTAATAAAACTAAATGTTTTGTTGCTCCTCTTTATATATACTAGTAATCAATCTGTGCATTTGCACAGGGAAGAATACTTTAAAAAGATAACAATATTAAAAAAAATAAAATAAATCATAATTTAATTCATGAAAAAAATATGAATTATAAAAATAATTCTCAAAATTGATTTTGATCAAATAATTGCTATGGAACAACCGTTACAACCATTTTCTTTATGCTAATACACCCGACCATTTTCATGAGTGAATGACTTAAAATTTGAGTACAATTTTGTAACTCTCTTGATTGGTTTATGCTCATAATTTATGACATTCAAGCAAGTTATTTTGTAACCTAAAAATGAAATTGAATGCTGAAAATTTTGGAGGGAGAATAAAATTTAATGCATGATAATAAAATTAAATGCTTTGTTGCTCCTTTTTATATATATATAGATACTAGTAATCAACCTGTGCATTTGCACAGAGAAGAATACTTAAAAAAGATAACAATATATAAAAAAAATCATAATTTAATTCATGAAAAAAAAATATGAATTAAGAAAATAATGCTCAAAATTGATTTTGATCAAATAATTGATATGAAAGAGCCGTTACAACCATTTTCTTTATGCTAATATACCCGGCCATTTTCATGAGTGAGTGTGACTTAAAATTTGAGTGAAGTTTTGTAACTCCCTTGATTGGTTTATGCTCATAATTTATGACATTCAAGCAAGTTATTTTGTAACTTAAAAATGAAATTGAATGTTGAAAATTTTGGAGGGAGAATAAAATTTAATGCATGATAACTTAAAAATGAAATTTAATGTTGAAAATTTTAGAGGGAGAATAAAATTTAATGCATGATAATATAATATAATGCTTTGTTACTCTTCTTTATATATATATATATAGATAAATTAAATTAAATTTTGAGTATAAATTAAGTATGAGTTATAATAATTAATAAACAAACCCAACATAAATTTCATGCGAAAAGTATTTCAACGTCCAAAGTTCAAAGTTTGATCCGCCTAATAAGAAATTAGATTAATTATTATTTTTTCTTTTCCTTTTTCAAACATTCCTTCGACATTCTCCATTTTCCCGAGCTCCATCGCCGCCCTCTATCACGTCGTTCCAGCTGCTCTTCTTTTATATATCCGCGATATCGAAGGCGTAATTTCTTTGAATTCTGGGTTCTTTTCTCCCCTTTTTTCTTCCTTAGTTCTGTATAGCTGGGGAAAAAGAAAAAAAAAGGAGAAAATAATGAAGAAGAAAAACAATGGGATGGTTTCTGTTACTTGGATTCCCATTTTCTCCATATGTTTCTTCTTCATCGGCATGGGTTTCACCAACAAGTACGTGATAGTTAGAGATTATTTTTTCGTGGTGTTTTTATTTTATTTTTTCAAATTATTACTATTTTTAGGGGAGATTTAAAACCCTTAATTTTTCTTAGAGATTAATTGATCTGGGTTTTACAGATTCTGGGGTCCTTTGGAATCCAATAATCTTCTAATAACCCAGCAAAGACGGGACCAGGAGCTGCAGATCGTCTCCGAGGACTGCAATACCAAGAAAAAGGTTCGACCTTTATGTCTTTATGTTAAGATTTATGAATTTGAAACTTAAAGATTCGAGGTTAAAATGATTTGAGACGATCAAGGCCTTTCATGGGTTTCATTTCGAACCNGAGGTTTAGCTGGGTTTGGTGTAATTAGTCTTTCTAATAATTTCCCCAGAAAGCGGCAGATCAAGACAAGGATGTAATGAAAGAGGTGTACAAAACCCATGAAGCAATCCAGTAAATTTCACATTTCTCTGTTTTTGTTAACTCCAGCCACTCATGAATGAATTTAGTACGCAAGTTAATTAACGGCAGATACTTGTTCTGGGGATTCTTTCAGGTCATTGGACAAGTCAATTTCAATGCTCCAAATGGAGTTATCTGCTTCTAGAAGTGTGCAGGCCAAAGGGAAAAATGATGGGTCGTCTCCAGTTTCTAACGAGGGGCCTCCAAGAAAGAAAGCATTTATGGTAATTGGTATAAATACAGCTTTTAGCAGTAGAAAGAGGCGTGATTCTGTCCGAGAGACTTGGATGCCTCAAGGTAATAGGTTTATCCAGATCTCCACTGAATTATAATTATGATTTTTTTTTTTTCCGAATGGTCTAGCGAGATTGTTATATGACATTTTCTGTGATTTGGTCAGGCCAGCAGCTTCGTAAGCTGGAGGAAGAGAAAGGGATTGTAGTGAGATTTATGATTGGACATAGGTAAATTACCCATTATTGCAGAGTATATCCTTATTGTATTTTGAGGCTTTGTGTTTTATGCTGTTGTTTTGGATCTATCAGTATCTGGGTTTATATGTCTGTGTTGTTCGACATCATAGGATGTATGGAAGTTTTACCATTTGATTTTTTTCCCCTTCACTTAAATTGGTATTATTTTACGGAGTCAGAATGTTTACTGAACTTGTGCCAGTACCAGAATTCATTGTTTTTAGATGCTATATGTAGCCGAGAATCATAAATTGAGCGGGTAAATGTTAAATTGAAGCTGAAGTAGGAATACTATCCCTAACTTCAAAATTCTGTTTGCTTGAAACCCTTAAAACGATGTCTTTTTATTTATATGCTTCTTTTTTTATTTTATCTTCTTTTTGAGCCAGAAGAAGAGAATAATATTCTTTTGAGTTTTCAAGCACTCTCTCGATTACCAGAATGCAGCTTTCAACAGTTAATCTTGCCGCATTCAGTCACATGAATTAAGTTGATAGATATTTTTCTCGATTGTTCCAGTGCAACATCTAACAGCATATTGGATAAAGCTCTCGATTCTGAAGAAGCTCAACACCAAGACTTTCTCAGACTGGTAAAAAAATTCGGACAACACCCCTCTTTTCTTTTTCTTAATTAAGAAATTAACCTGACTCTAAATATCTTAAGTGTCATGTAACAGGATCATATCGAAGGTTATCACGAACTATCCGCAAAGACAAAAACTTTCTTTGCCACAGCTGTTGCCAGGTGGGATGCTGACTTTTACGTCAAAGTTGATGATGATGTTCATGTTAATCTGGGTAAGTAAGTGTTAATGCCGTTATTTCCCTACCTGTTAAATTTCGATTCACTATTTAAAACCCCCCATTAATCAATTGCTTGGTTTTTATAGGTACATTAGCTGCAACTCTTGCCCGTCATCGTTCAAAACCCAGAATTTACATCGGTTGTATGAAATCTGGACCAGTTCTAGCTCAAAAGTAATCCTTGAAATTCTAGAAAGTGCAAATGGCTGTGTAATAATATAATACTGGGTATTTAACAATCACATATGTTATTCTCATCCAGGAATGTTAAGTATCACGAACCAGAGTACTGGAAATTTGGAGAAGATGGAAATAAGTATTTCAGGCATGCGACCGGACAAATATATGCAATTTCCAAAGATTTAGCCACCTACATCTCAATTAATCAGTAAGGATTTCTTGCATTCTGTTAAGAATCATATTATTATTGTACACTCTGTTTATTTTGAGTTTTATATTTCTCTATGGTTTAGAATGGAGTGTTGTTAAACACTGTGGCTAGATAGTAAATAATTGAGGCAAATCTATACACTTTGTAACTACAAAAGGGAATTTGCCTGATTATATATGAAGCTGTCCCACATTTAGCTTTCTTCAGAAAGTCCAAGCTTAGCCTCTACTATATAGGCATTTTTTAGACTTTCTTTTTACACCAAATGCGAACCATGACCATTTGGATTAGCAAGCCAATGTGGGGGATTCAAATTAAGTAGTCTAATACTAGATAATGTTTATATACTTTCTGTTTCTTTGTTTTTCGGAAAACAATTACCTACAATGTAAAATTGAAGGTAAAAGAGCAACCTTATATATGTGCATCTATCTGAAATTATATTATGATTGTAATTCCCAGGCCCATTTTGCACAAGTATGCCAATGAAGATGTGTCTCTTGGCGCTTGGTTTATCGGTCTTGAAGTTGAGCACATTGATGACCGCAATATGTGCTGCAGTACTCCACCTGGTATGTTTTCTCTAGCGATTTGTTTTTTGAGATAAAAATATACAAAATATTTCGTTCTGTTAAAAACCAAAAAAAAAAAAAAAAATGATTGTGTGCTGATATTCTCGGAATAGAAGAACACTATCAGCTCACTGTTACTTTTTCTCTTATCAAGCAAATATTTTCTGAAAAAGAACAAATCAGTAGCACACATTTTGTTCAAATGGTTGGTCTTGTGTTATGTCGGCCTAATCATTTGGCCGATATACCTTTTGAACAGATATGCATACTTTCATCAGGATATGCCATACTTTTTAAAACAACATAAAGATAACTATGGCATTTGATAGTATAATGTATGCATATTTATTTATGGAGTATGACAGGTCGGCCTAGCCTAGTTAGGCTGCCTCGTACAAGAACTTGTGTTGTACAAATTAACTGTTCGCCTACTCGCATATTTGTAATGGTCAACCATACCTTGTTATTGTTTCACTATTCATATATCACACCAAATTTTATTATCGAATTTCATATCATATACCCAAAAATAAAAAAATTCTCAATGAAAATGGCAGTTGCATCCTGAACACCACTAGAAGAAAACTATCTGTTGTAGTCACTAAAGGTAGAACGTCAAGACCTCATATATAAAGGAATCTTTGCAGAAACTTAGCAGAAAAGTAGTTGAGGTTCATATATAGCTAAATTCTGAATAAGGTTGGATATGTTTTGAAGATCATATATTACTCAAAAGCAGATGTAGGAATCTATAATGCACCCCCACACTTCTTTGCTGCTTCTATATATTTTGCTGGGAAAGATAATGGCATCATGTTTTTTGAGTTGACTATCTGTTTATTAATTTATTATTTGCTAAATTTTGCAGATTGCGAGTGGAAGGCACAGGCTGGCAACGTATGCATTGCGTCTTTTGACTGGAGCTGCAGTGGAATCTGCAAATCTGTGGAGAAGATGAAATTCGTACACGAACATTGTGGGGAAGGGGAAGAGGCTCTTTGGAATGCCTTACTATAATAATAATAATAATTAAAAATTTCTACATAAGAGAAAATCATAAAACTCTCCCCTTTTCAGCGTTCAGATTATAGGAACCAGTTCACGTGCAGCAGTCAAAGCACACGATGAAGATTGGGTTGTGAGGGTTTTCTAGACTTTATTGATGCTAGCCAACTCTTTTGAATGATTTTGTATGAATGCTGGAAGTTATGCCTGAGCAGATGCCTTTTGTCCTAACTGAAATCGTTCTTCGTATAGAGAAGGTTGGATACATGTACACATATACTAGAGATACTGGATTATGATTTTTGGCAGCAATAGGAACACACATTTTAGCCTTCTTTTGATTGATATTCTAAACAGTTCAAATTTTCTCCGCCGTTTGTGATTTTTTCCTTGCTCGAGTACTGTCCTTTTGTTATGACCCATTGGGTAGTTATCGAAGGTTAGCTTTTGAAACTGGTTTGGATTGTGAGATTTAATCATCTTAATTATTGATGCAATTATTGTTAATCATCTTCAGTACTAATGGGACACCGTGAGTAGAAAGTGTGATGTCACTTTTCACCATTTGTGTTCAATTGAACTTGATGGGCTATCAAGTGAAGGTAATTATCTGAATTATGAGTTTAATGATGATCTATAGCTTAAGCAAATTTTGCAAAAACTTATGCTTCTACCAACTCATTTACTATTCACCGTTCACTATTACTATTCACCACCCCTCTATTATTACTCATCACCCCTCTTTTTTTACTCTTTTGCCCTTTTTCTCTATCTCCCTAAATTCTCTATCTCTCTAAATTCTCGAACTTTCAACGAGCTATTCGAGCTTCCAAAAAATTCCGAAAAAATGTCGAAAAAATCCTATGGCATGGGAAAGGATTCTTCTCCGGCAAGATAATTTTTTTCTTGGTTGTAAAT